GCAGCATCAGCTGCTCCAAAAGTATTGTTGATTGGTTTAAAAACAAACAAGTAAATAAAACCCTAGAGAAAAACGTTCATAGAGTAGAACTTGTCATAAAGATGGGTCGCACGTCTATATAAAAACCCCCAAACACCCGCTGTCCCCGGCGGGGCCACGCCCTCCCCAGAAGCTTGAAGAAAGTGGAGGACGTGCGGAGAGGAGACAGGAAGAGAAAGGTCAGCAGCCCAGGGAACGGGAAGAGGCGGCCGAAGAGAGAGAGAGAAACCTCTTCAGGGCTGGATTTTTCCAAGAAACAACGTGGTCCTGCCGAGGCGCGCCCTCCCCGCCCTCGGCGCCCGGCGCGGCCGCGGCCACTAGGGGGCAGTGTCGACCACGGCGTCTGGGAGCGGACGTGCGGGTTGTGCGGATCGGGCCTCGGGTTTCTGAACCCTGCGGGCCACCGCCCGCCTCACTCTGCGGGACAGATAACGAAACGCAGTTCCTTTCTAGGGACCTTTTATCATTTAGATGGTCGATTTCATTCGATTTGTGAGGTTTTTTTCATAATCAGAATTCTGAGTTAAAAACAAGGGCAGTCGCACAAAGTTGCGGCCTGTCTAGCTCTGCCAGCGATGTGTCAGCCTTTTCGGAATTAGTAATTATTTCATTCCCAGAGAATTCGAAGGTCAAGTTCCACAGAATCTAGAACCGGGGTTGGCCCAGAAGGTAGCGAAGACCAAGGGGCTACGGGGAGAGCAAACCTTTGACCTCCATCCGCCCATTTTTAAAGTCTGGAAGCAGAAACTACAACCTAATAATTAGTTTTATTGATTGCTTACTTGCTGACCAGGCGTTTTCACAATTCCTCATTTAGGGATTTCTCCCACAACCCAGATTCCAGACCCCGACCCCAACCCCTGCCCTACAGAGAGGGGGATCCCAAATGTAGGAATCGCCCCCAAGGCGATAAATGAAATGAAACTGATGAGAAGTGTCCACCCACTCCCAAAATATACACATGGGCTCAGGACCGTAAAGCCTACGCCCCCCACCCTTCACTGTCTGAGGCAGAGGGAGGCCCCAGATTGTAAGAGTTCCAGAGCAGGTCGGGGGTGGGGGGGGGGGAGGCAATTCCCAGAGATTCCTGGCCCAGGGTGAGGCCTTGATGGGGGCCTCCTGCCTCCTGCACCTCCCCCATGCCCTGGCTGCTAAGGGCCCCAGCTGCTTCTGCATCCGGGTCGTCTTTAACTCACATTTCCTTGCCTCGATAAGCCCAATATTATCAAAAGGAGAAGGATCCAAGGCCATGAAAGATTCAGAATTTTAATTACCTATTCACAGCTGGGGAAATATGTTCCTGGAGCAAATACAACCCAGGTATCTGGGGATAAAAGGAAGGAGAATTGTGCAGCCGAATGTCTGCCTCGAGGGGCCTAGAGAGGTAAGTGATCCAGCAGCACAGGGGCTGTCGTCGCAGAGAAATGTACATCGCGTTTTAAAATACCAGAATGCGAGATACACTGGTCGCAAACACCGAGCATGCTTCGGTGTGAGGCATGTCGCCAGAAAGCAGGAAACTCGAAAAGTGAAGGAATGTCGTGAGGGTCTTTCCTGTCTGCATGTGTTTAATCATGTGATAGCGCCGGTCTGCAAACTATGGCCCGAGGGCCAAATTCAGGCTCAGAAAGGTTTTTACATTTGAAGAAGGAGGGGAAACGTTTGTCAACTCCACCTCCTATAAATATATAATTATATAATCAGTCTCTTCACTAGGCCAAACTCTAAAACACACGGAGGCCAGTGTTTGGATATAAGCTTCCTGCGTTTGAGATGTATTGGGCACGAATTAACTATGTAAAGAGAAAACTTAAAACTGAACAAAGCAAAAAAAAAAAAAAAAAGATTAGAAATCAGAGATGTATTTTTGGCATTCCATTGGTTTTAGCATTCATCTCTCTGAGGATTCCTGGGGGAAAGATCATATTTCTTGATCACATTGCCAAATACACCGTGAATCTGGGTGAAAATTTGCTTTGGAAACTACCCCCCCCAGCCTGCAACCAAGGAAACATTTATCCTTGCAGAAAGCTAAGGAGGCGGGCGGTTCCTCAAACACTGCTGTCACGTTGCAAAATCCAAGGGTTCGCCCTGACCGCGTAGCCTGATATGATTGATGAGTAAGAAAGCTGCATTTTACACCCTCGACGCGTGAGCCCGTCGTGGTTAGCCCGGCAGAAGGATCTATAAATGACTCAAAAGGCAGGAAGAGGAAGCAAAACCAGCCCTCGTCAACTTTATCAAGATGATGTGGATAAAATGATGTCTAGCTTATGGCTGATGCGAGGCATACCGTATGCGAATGCCAAGGCATTTGTGGGTAGTAATTCACCGTGGGGTGAATGCCACTCGAAATGGCTTCAGATAGATGATAAAGAAAGCCTTGATTGATGATGATAGGGCCACACAAACGATGCATTCCGAAACGTGTAATTAGGGACTATTTCTCCCCATCGCTTAAACTTAACAACAGGCACATGGGAACAATGTGAGGGTGAGTCATCAGTAGTTAGCCACTCAACATAGTTCCATGAGCAAACTAAAATTATAAAACTTTAAAAAATTATAGTACGTGCAGAAAAAAAAAAAAAAATCTGAAAATAGATGCCGCTAAGCATGCATGGTCGCCAGTGTCCGAATGGATAAACCAGGGGTTTGGAACTCAGATGTTTATCCCCCATCAAGTGGATGAATTCCTAGCCTATCACATAGTCTCGTTAACTCGAAAGAGATGCAGTAATGTGCGTGCAGCACCCGTCATCCTATGTGACTGGGAGGCATGTCCTTTAGAATTCCCTTTCCATGGTCCTGGTAACGGAAGTGGGTACGCCTCAGTCCTAGGACAGGATGGAGGTGAG